TTTGCCCCTCACAAAGAAATGATCGGTCTAAAAATCGAATGTTCGGTGTATTGTAACACTGAGAGACAGAATAGCAACACAAAATTCCGCAGAAATGCATGTCTAACAAATTATGCACTGATTTCCATGTTCATGAGGGAAATAAGTATTTGATCCCCTTCACAAAGCATGACTTAGTACTTGGTGACAAATCCCTTGTTGGCAATCACAGAGGTCAGACGTTTCCTGTAGTTGGCCACCAGGTTTGCACACATCTCAGAAAGGGATTTTGGCCCACTCCTCTTGGCAGATCCTCTCCAAATCATTAAGATTTGGTGGATGACGTTTGGCAACTCGAACTTTCAGCTCCCTCCACAGATTTTATATCGGATTAAGGTCTGGAGACTGGCTAGGCCACTCCAGGACCTTAATGTGCTTCTTCTTGAGCCACTCCTTTGTTGCCTTGGCCGTGTGTTTTGGGTCATTGTCATGCTGGAACACCCATCCACGACCCATTTCAATGCCCTGACTGAGGGAAGAAGGTTCTCACCCAAGAATTGATAGTACATTGCCCTTTCCATCGTCGCTTTGATGCGGTGCAGTTGTCCTGTCCCCTTAACAGAAAAATACCCCCAAAGCAGAATGTTTCCACCACCATGTTTGACAGTTGGGATGGTGTTCTTGGAGTCATAGGCAGCATTCCTCCTCCTCCAAACACGGCGAGTTGAGTTGATGCCAAAGAGCTCGATTTTGGTCTCATCTGACCACAACACTTTCCACCAGTCCTCCTCTGCATCATTCAGATATTCAGTGGCAGACTTCAGACGGGTCTGGACATGTGCTTTCTTGAGAAGAGGGACCTTGCGGGCACTGCAGGATTTCAATCCTTGTCAGCATAGTGTGTTTCCAATTGTTTTCTTGGTGACTGTGGTCCCAGCTGCCTGGAGATCATTGACAAGATCCTCACATGTAGTTCTGGGATGATTCCTCACTGTTCTCATGATCGACAGTCCACGAGGTGAGATCTTGCATGGTGCACCAGACCTAGGGAGACTGACAGTTGTTTTGTGTTTCTTTCATTTGCGAATGATTGCACCAACTGTTGTCACCTTCTCACCAAGCTGCTTGGCGATAGTTTGGTAGCCCAGTCCAGCCTTGTGTAGGTCTACATTCTTGTCCCTGACATCCTTGGATAGCTCTTTGGTCTTTGCCATGGTGGAGAGTTTGGAATCTGATTGTTTGATTGCTCCTGTGGACAGGTGTCTTTTATACAGGTAACAAAATGAGATTAGCAGCACTCCCTTTAAGAGACTGCTTCTAATCTCAGCTTGTTACCTGTATGAAAGACACCTGGTAGCCAGAAATCCTGCTGAATGATAGGGGATCAAATACTTATTTCCCTCATGAACATGCAAATCAGTCATCATTTGTTAGACATGCATTTCTTTTGAATTTTTTCTTGCTATTCTGTCTCTCACTGTTACAATACACTTACTGTTCGATTTTTAGACTGATTATTTTTTTGTGAATGGGCAAACATTCAAAATCAGCAGGGGATCAAATACTTATTTCCTTCACTGTAGTTAGTCTGGCTGAAAAAAGACAAAAGTCCATCCAGTTCAACCATAGAAAAAAAAAAAGTTATAATCCTACACCCACAACTGATCCAGAGGAAGGCAAACAAACCCAGCAAAGCATGATCCAATTTGCTCCTGCAGGGAAAAAATTCCTTCCTGATCCCCCGAGAGGCAATCAGATATTCCCTGGATCAATTTTACCTATAAATGTTATATCCAGTTATTTTCTGTGTATCCAAGAAAGAATCCAGGACTTTTTTAACTTCTTCCTGTCCGGCCGTTTATCGACATGGGCCAGATGGGAGTGCTGCCGATGCGGGAGGATGTTTCTAAACCTCCCCCTCCGCATCCATTGCCTGTGCGCGTTCCCTGGGAGCACGCGGCGCCACCATCAGTGCCCGCTGTGTCCGGCACCACGATCAGTGATTGCTGTATGGGACCTCTGCATGAGGTCCTGATTAATGTGATCCCTGATTGGCCACTGAGTGATCACATGAAGAATAGTAAGCAAGATGACACTTCTGACATCATTGCTTACTACGTGTGAAATCTGTGAATGATCACAGAGGTCACATGGTACCAGGATATTCACAACAGCCTTGTACCATGTGACAAGCTGTGACCAATCACAGCTCACACAGTATTTCTCAATGGCTGCAGGAATGCAGCCAGAGAGAAGGAGAAATGATTGCTTTTACAGCCTTTATGGGTGTAAAAGCAATCAGTGTAAAAGAGAAAAGACAATCTTCATCACTCCCCACAAGTAGTACAGTGTCACTATGGTGACACTGTACTGCTAGGGTGATAGTATGTAAAAGGAAAAAAAAAAAACCATAAATAATATAAAAAAAATTAAATAAAAATGTGAAAAATTATAATTTTTGGTTATAAACTAATTTGGGTTTTTTTTTTACTAAAAAGATAGATGAATACATTTTGGCCAAGATTTATGAAGAAAGATTATTTATTTGCAAAATTTTATAAGAAAAACCTTTTTTTCTTTCTAGATTTGTGGACTTTTTCATTTATATATAAAAAAAAAAATCCCAGTGGTGAATAAATACTACCAAAATAAAGTTTTATCTGTCGCAAAAAAATACTAAAAAATTCATATGGGTACAGTGTTAGATGACAGGCTAATTGTCATTCAAAGTGTGAATACGCTGAAAGCTGAAAATTGGCCTGGACAGGAAGGGGGTGAAAGTGTCCGGACTGAAGTGGTTAAAGCAATCCACTGAGCTGGCCAGAACCAACTGTTGAGGGAGTCTATTCCACATTTTCACAGCTCTCACTGTGAAGAAACCTTTCCGTGTTTGGAGATTACATTTCTTTTCCTCCAGACATAAAGAGTGCCCCCTTGTCCTCTGTGATGACCTCAGGGGAATAACTCTACACCGAGTTCACTATATGAACCACTGATGTATTTATACAATGAATGATAGGAATTCAAGTTAAGAGTCATACCAGAGGCAGTTCGCTCATAATTGAGTCAAGTGAGGTCAGCTAAGGGAAACCAGAATGAGAAAGCTGTATTAGAAACTTTACAGTGAAACCAAACTCCACTCTACAATTGGTGACCAGACTCAAAAATTATTCAGTGATAATCATTCAGCATGCTGGACACATGCCAGAGCATACGTGTGTCTCTGTCTGTGGATGCTACCATGTATAGAGTGCTTGACAATGTCAACAGTGACCATCTGGCAGATGCTCAAAACACAGCCAACCACCCCACAGAAGGCTGCGACACAGAAGAGAAGTAACCTATGGGCAAACTATTACATATAACTATTTTAATGGGATTTGGTTTCCATTTTTTCAACCTCAGTACAATTTGCTGCTGCCAGGCTCATCCACCTTACCAACCGTTCAGTGTCTGCTACCCCTCTCTGCCAATCCCTCCACTGGCCTCCATTCAGTGTCCTCCACTCCTCTCTGCCAATCCCTCCACTGGCCTCCATTCAGTGTCCTCCACTCCTCTCTGCCAATCCCTCCACTGGCCTCCATTCAGTGTCCTCCAACCCCTCTCTGCCAATCCCTCCACTGGCCTCCATTCAGTGTCCTCCACCCCTCTCTGCCAATCCCTCCACTGGCCTCCATTCAGTGTCCTCCACTCCTCTCTGCCAATCCCTCCACTGGCCTCCATTCAGTGTCCTCCACCCTCTCTGCCAATCCCTCCACTTGGCCTCCATTCAGTGTCCTCCACCCCTCTCTGCCAATCCCTCCACTGGCCTCCATTCAGTGTCCTCCGCCCCTCTCTGCCAATCCCTCCACTGGCCTCCATTCAGTGTCCTCCACTCCTCTCTGCCAATCCCTCCACTGGCCTCCATTCAGTGTCCTCCGCCCCTCTCTGCCAATCCCTCCACTGGCCTCCATTCAGTGTCCTCCACCCCTCTCTGCCAATCCCTCCACTGGCCTCCATTCAGTGTCCTCCACCCCTCTCTGGCAATCCCTCCACTGGCCTCCATTCAGTGTCCTCCACCCCTCTCTGCACCCCTCCATTTTGGCAATCCCTCCACTGGCCTCCATTCAGTGTCCTCCACCCCTTTCTGGCAATCCCTCCACTGGCTTCCAGTCACTCAACAAATAAAATTCAAAATACTAACAACAACTTACAAAGCAATCAACAACTCTGCCCCCAGCTACATCACCAACCTGGTCTCAAAATACCAACCAAACCGCTGTATCGATCCTCCCTTCTGCTCTCTAGTTCCTGTGTCACCTCCTCCCATGCTCACCTCCACGACATTCTCCGAGCTACTCCCATCCTATGGAACTCCCTACCCCAATCTGTCCGGCTGTCTCCTAATCTGTCCACCTTTAGACAATCCTGAAATCCTCTCTCTTTAAAGAAGCCTATCCTGCTTCTACCTAGTAAACTGCTATTTATTTCCTCCATCAGCTCATCCCCCCACAGCTATTACTTTTGTATCACTCAACCCTTCCTCCTAGATTGTAAGCTCTAACGAGCCGGGCCCCTCTGTTTCCTCTTGTATCAAATTGTATTGTAACTGTAATGTCCGCCTTCATTTTGTAAAGCGCTGAGCAAACTGTTGGCGCTATATAAATCCTGTATAATAATAATAATAATAATAATTTGGGGAATCTCGAAGAGAGACTTTAGACACAAGACTTACTCAGAATAGCAATTTCTTTTAAGAAACAACAGAAGTTGGAGACAAGCAGTCTGAACAGTTGTCACAATGGTTGCTTATATCTGGATTACACTGTTTGCCCATAGGAGCAATAAAAATTGGTTAAAGATCCAACAGTTTGCATGTGAATGCAGCTTATCAATTTATACTGGAATTGTGAAAAAATAAACCCTAGGCATCCCATGACATTTTTTTCCAGACGACTGGTAGAAAAACAACAAATCAAGATACAGTAACTAGAATTGTGTTATCATTCCTATTAACCATTAATTATTTTGTTGTCTCATACCTGGAGGAAGAAAAAGAGAACCTCGGATGCGTCCTTCTCTGATCTGCACTCTCTGGACATGAGGACTGGTGAACCATCTTTGGATAACCTTACTGACAGTAGGAATATTTTGTGGATGCAGACTGATTTCCATGTGACGGTAGAGTTCCAGGTGAACATAGAAAGGACTTCTCATTACATCATGTTTTACCAACCTTAAAAATGGAGTAAGTGGCTTCAGAGCCCAGAAGAGTCCCATTGGATGAACTCCTTGGAAGTCTCCACCAGTGGCTGGTGTACGCTCTAGGTCTATCTTCCCCTCGTCATTGGCTACGTAGAATGCTCGGGAGTAGAATATTTCCCCCTTCTCATCTTTCAGCCATGCTCTTAGTGTGATTAACTCTTGTGGAACGAGACCCCAAGCTTGGATCTTCACCGGCTCATCTGCAAGTGCCACCTCCGGCGAGACTGCAAGACCTATCATAGCTGAAGTTTTCTAGAAGAACAAAGCCAGCTTGTAATAAGACATGGAAAAGCTAGTGAGAAAGGCTCAGTGATACTGAATACATTATGATATACAGGATAATATGATTTTCATGTGTAATTTATGCAATCAAACCAACTTTTTTTTTTTTTTCCAGTAGATTAGGCCTAATATTACATTGGAAAGAATTACATGCATACACGTGTTGGTTAAAGTGACTCCATGTAACTATACCTCCTACCCATTCCTCACAAGAGTCCATTGTAATTGTAAAATGTGGCATATAATACAATGTAAATAGTGTAAAAACTGGTTAATAAATAAAAAGTATCAATAACATTATTTCATTTAATGTAAGCTGTAAACAACAAGCACATACTGGAAAGAAAAAAAACAATTTTAAAAAAGTAAATTTTCCATGTGGATTACTCTCCAAGACCTAGACTGGGAGGGAACATTGCTGTCGAAGAATGCAGAATAGAAATGGGAATGTATCAAATTGACTGTATGCAAACATACTGCAAAATATATTCCAAAAGGTTACAAATAAAACCTACGTGGCTCACGTCCAACATTAGAAAAGCTAAAAATAATGAGGAAAGGGCATATAAAATAAAGAAATGCCATTATCATTTACAAGAATATAACAGAATATGTAAAAAAAGAAATCAAGGCTGAAAAGAAAGGTTAGGATAGGATAAACCCCCCAAACGTTCTTCAATTAGTTGAACAATAAAAAGGTCCGACCTCAGCAGGTGGCCCATTACAAGATAAGTTGGTGATGGGGACAAAGAGAAGGCAAATGTTTTAAATACCTTCTTCCGTTCTGGAAAATTGGTGATCACGCTGTCAAAAAATAAAAGTCAGCAGCTGCAAAAACTGTAGCTGCTGACTTTTAAAAAACAGCCACTTACCTGTCCCTCGATCCCGCGGTGTGTTCCCCCACAGCCCGTTTCACCAGCCGTCCTGGATTCCAGGAGGCCGGCATCTTCAGTGTGGGCACCCGGCTGTGATAGCTTGCGGCTTCACAGCCGGGTTCCCACTGCGCATGCGCAAGTAGCGCTGCACTTCATGAATGGTCCTGTAGTCTTATGGGACCTGTCACATGTCTCAAAAGACTACAGGGAGGGAGGGAGGACACCTTCCGCTTCCAATTGCCTAGGCGATCGGATCGGAAGTGGGAGCGGGGACCTGTCAAATTCGGGTACCCGCTCCCCCACCCCACCCCTCAAAGGTGCCAATACTTAATGGGGAGCGGGGGAGCAGTTCTTAAAGCGGAACTTCCCCTTTTGGGTGGAGCTCCACTTTAAGTACAGAATGGAGATAGTTTTGAAATAGTCCCAAAAGAACCACAATGGCTCAAAATTTATATGGTCCAGAAACATTTAGGCAACAATGGATCAGATGGATTACACCAATGTGCCCTCGAAGAGTTGAGTCCTGTATTTTCAAAGCCATAGTTTTTAATTTTTAGAGGCTTTTTATTGACTGATGTGGTGTGTAACACTCCACCGAAGGAGTCATTTGATGTGTTGGATCCCTTGTTCCTGTGCCCACAATTCTGCAAATAGCACCACACAACCTGACACACCTGGCTGGGTAGGGAACATTTAGTACGGATGTACAGGCAGTACCCCAATAGTAAAAGAGATATGAAACAGAGAAAACAATACTGCAAATGGTTAAAATATAGCAAAAAATATACTATATATATATATATACACACATATATATATATATATATATATATATATATATATATATACCGTATTTTCTGGCGTATAAGACGACCCCCTACTTTTCCTGTTAAAATATAGGGTTTGAGGTATACTCGCCGTATAAGACTACCCCTCTTCCAACACACACCAAATAAAAATGTAAAAACATCAGATTTGATTTCAATATGGTATGGTATTTCAGTATGGTATTCCAATGATGGGGTACTATTCCTCCCACTGACACCAATGATGAGGCACTACTCCTCCCACTGACACCAATGATGAGGCACTATTCCTCCCACTGACACCAATGATGGGGCACTATTCCTCCCACTGACACCAATGATGGGGCACTATTCCTCCCACTGATACCAATGATGGGACACTATTCCTCCCACTGACACCAATGATGGTGCCCCATCATTAGTGTCAGTGTGTGAGGAATAGTGCCCCATCATTGGTGTCAGTGTGAGGAATAGTGTCCCATCATTGGTGTCAGTGGGAGGAATAGTACTCCATCATTGGTGTCAGTGGGAGGAATAGCGGCCCATCATTGGTGTCAGTGGGAGAAATAGTGCTCCATCATTGGTGTCAGTGGGAGGAATAGCGGCCCATCGTTGGTATCAGTGGGAGGAATAGCGCCCCATCGTTTGTGTCAGTGGGAGGAATAGCACCCCATCGTTGGTGTCAGTGGGAGGAATTGCGCCCCATCGTTGGTTGCAGTGGGAGGAATAGTGCCCCATCGTTGGTGTCAGTGGCAGGAATTGCGCCCCATCGTTGGTGTCAGTGGGAGGAATTGCACCCCATCGTTGGTGTCAGTGGGAGGAATAGCGCCCCATCGTTGGTGTCAGTGGGGAGAATAGCGCCCCATCGTTGGTGTCAGTGGGGAGAATAGCGCCCCATCGTTGGTGTCAGTGGGAGGAGTAGTGCCTCATCATTGGTGTCAGTGGGGAGAATAGCGCCCCATCGTTGGTGTCAGTGGGGAGGAGGAATAGTGCCCCATCATTGGTGTCAGTGGGGAGAATAGCGCCCCATCGTTGGTGTCAATGGGAGGAATTGCGCCCCATCGTTGGTGTCAGTGGGGAGAATAGCGCCCCATCGTTGGTGTCAGTGGGGAGAATAGCGCCCCATCATTGGTGTCAGTGGGGAAATAGCGCCCCATCGTTGGTGTCAGTGGGGAGAATAGCGCCCCATCGTTGGTGTCAGCGGGGAGAATAGCGCCCCATCGTTGGTGTCAGCGGGGAGAATAGCGCCCCATCGTTGGTGTCAGTGGGGAGGAGGAATAGTGCCCCATCATTGGTATCAGTGGGGAGAACAGTGCCTCATCGTTGGTGTCAGTGGGGAGAATAGCGCCCCATCATTGGTGTCAGTGGGGAGGAGTAATAGTGCCCCATCGTTGGTGTCAGTGGGGAGAATAGCGCCCCATCGTTGGTGTCAGTGGGGAGAATAGCGCCCCATCGTTGGTGTCAGTGGGGAGAATAGCGCCCCATCGTTGGTGTCAGCGGGGAGAATAGCGCCCCATCGTTGGTGTCAGTGGGGAGGAGGAATAGTGCCCCATCATTGGTATCAGTGGGGAGAACAGTGCCTCATCGTTGGTGTCAGTGAGGGAGGAACAGTGCCTCATCGTTGGTGTCAGTGGGGGAGGAACAGTGCCTCATCGTTGGTGTCAGTGGGGGAGGAACAGTGCCTCATCGTTGGTGTCAGTGTGGAGGAGGAATAGTGCCCCATCGTTAGTGTCAGTGGGGGAGAGGAGCGGCTGCTCCTTCTTCCAGTGCGGCCGCTCGATTTTCGCGGGGCCGCTCGTCTCCGCCTCCTCGCCGGTGATTGGTCGCTTGTGTGCCTTTCCAGTGCTGGCGCCCAATCACCGGTGAGGAGGCGGAGCCGAGCGGCCGCGTGATCATCGAGTGGCCGAACTGAAAGAAGGAGCAGCCGCGCTTCCTGGACCGGATCGTCGTGGGACCGGAGCCAGGTAAGGTACAGCAGCCCCTCTGTCCACCCCTGTACTTAGTGTCCGTCGGAGGAGGAGGGGGGGCGCCGCCCCTCGAAAAAGTGCCGCCCGGCTCGCACCGGCGTATAAGACGACCCCCGACTTTTCAGAAGATTTTCAGGGGTTGAAAAGTCGTCTTATACGCCGGAAAATACGGTATATACAGTGGGGATCGAAAGTTTGGGCACCCCAGCTAAAAATTTGTATTAATGTGCTCCACTTCCTTAAATTGAACCTCTCCAAAACCGAGTTTCTTGTCTTCCCCCCAGCCCGGACACCACCCCCCATTGATTTCTCCGTCACATCCAACAACGCTACCATCAAACCCGCCCTGCAGGCCAGAGTACTGGGTGTCATTCTGGACTCCAACCTATCCTTCCAGCCCCAAGTCCAATCTTTAACAAACTCGTGCAGACTCCACCTCCGCAACATCGCCAAAATCCGCACGTTCCTAACCCCAGAAACCACTAAACAGCTCATCCACTCCCTCATCATATCACGACTCGACTACTGCAACTCCCTCCTCACTGGCCTGCCTCGCCGCTGGCTATCCCCTCTTCAGTCCATCCTGAACACGGCTGCCAGACTCATTCACCTTTCCAACCGCTCTGTCTCCGCCACCCCCTCTGCCAATCCCTCCACTGGCTTCCGATTGCGCAACGGATCAAATTCAAAATCCTAACGCTGACGTACAAAGCTGTCCACCATACTGCCCCGAACTACATCACTGACCTAATATCCAAGTACCGCCCCCAGCACGCACACTCCGCTCCTCACAAGACCTCCTTCTCTCTAGTTCCCTGGTCTCCTCCTCCCATGCCCGCCTCCAGGACTTCTCCAGGGTGTCACCCATCCTCTGGAACTCCCTGCCCCAACCCATCAGATTATCACCTACTCTCCTCTCCTTTAGGCGCACCCTGAAAACCCATCTCTTCAGGGAAGCCTACCCCACCCCCTGCTAACTT